ACTTAGTGAAGTTAATTGAATTTTGGTATGTAAAATATAATGTGGTTGAATTAGTGATTAGATATTGTGTTATAAATTAGTGAATAAATTAGTGAAATTACATTAATTAATCTAAATTTTAAAACAATTAGTGATTAGCAATTGTTAGTTTGATTAATTGTGCATTATACTTTAGCAATGTATATAGGTATTAATTAATTACTAACTTTTGTTTTTTGTTTTGTTTTTTCATTTTATTTTTTTTATAGATTCATATGTGAATTAAAGCACAAATTTAGCTTGAAGACTACATATTTAGCTCAAGTGGAAAGTTAGAAAGAATACATCCATTGTACTTGCTATATTAGTATGAATTATAAACTTTACTAAGCTATATTTCTTTCTCTTTATTCATTTAATAAAAAGTTGTTCATGCTATTACAACTTGTGTATTGTTTAATGACAAATAAATACAACAATATATAAAATGCTGGCATCATCATATGCCTAGATACCCGTTCAAGGCTTTCTCATTAGGAGAAAGTCTTGAATACTCCCTGGTTGGGACTGATCTTGAACGTTTACTCTCACTTAGGTAGTGAATGTATGTCTTTTTTTTTTATCTTAAGGATCATCTTGGCTTACTATTTCTTCACCCTGTTCTCTGGGTACATATGTGGGTAAGTAATTATCTACATCGTGTACTTGGAGAACAAGGGGGAAATGCTGCCGGATTTTCCTTAAAATTGGAAAGTCGACATACATTCACTAGTGAGATTAGACGTTCAAGGATGGGTTTGGTTGGAGTGATAAGGACCGTTTGGAAGCATATATGCATTTTTTTACTATATGAGTGTTATATGCATGGTTTGTGTTTGAATTTGATTTACATATATAATATATGTAGCAATTATATATTATTCGTAATATGTTGCTATGTTTAGACACAATTTACTTAATGGAGAAGGATCGTGGTTTGATGTATGATAAACGTGATACATTCAAATTCTTTCATGGGGTTCAAGAGGTTTGCAAGAGGGCTTCATCTTATCAGTGCAGAATGGGTGTCGATTGCTTCTATTGTCCTTGTTTTGATTGTAATAATGTGAAGGTGGTCAATAGTGTTGAAATCATTAGAGATCATGTTATTTGTTGTGGGTTTAGGCTTAAATACCATGTGTGGATTTGGCAGTGAGAGTACAGTGGGGATGTTGATGGGAATGATGTGCATGATAGAAGCAATGAGATTCGTTGGACGAGGAATACAGGAATGATGAATGTATTATTGATAATGATGATGAGGATGGATTTGAGGATGATCAGGTGGATGAGGTCGAGGATGAAGGGGTGGATGAGATGATGCGTGGTGTTGAAGGTGACGTGTTTGAGTCATTATCAGAGGCTTCTAAAAAGCCTTTGTATCCTGGGTGCAAAAAATACTCCAAACTATCAGCCATGCTAACACTTTTTGACATTAAGTCGAAGCATGGGTGGACGGACTATAGTTTTACTTCTTTGTTGACCGCGTTAAGTGAGATGTTGCCTGACGGGAATGAAATTCCTAAGTCTTACTATTATGTAAAGAAGCTCATATGTCCATTTGGTTTGGAGTATAAGAAGATACATGAATGTCCTAATGATTGTATTCTTTTATCGAAATGAATATGAACAATTGGAAGAGTGTCCACGATGCAAGAAGTCGCGCTACAAGCACATGAGTTGTAATGCTGGTATGAAGGGACCTCCTGCTAAGCTGTTGTGGTATCTTCCCATTATTCCAAGGTTTAAGCGTCTATTCTCAACACCAAAAGACGTTAAAAACTTGAGGTGGCATGCAGAGGGAAGAAAGAAAAACAGAATGCTGAAGCATCCAGCCGACTCCTTGCAATGGAAGAACATTGATATGAAGTGAGGGAAATTTAGTGATGATGTCAGAAATTTAAGGCTAGGGTTGTGCACGGACGGGATGAATCCATTTGGCACTCTTAGTACCCAACACAACACATGGCTGTTACTTTGAGTGATTTACAATTTGCCTCCTTGGTTGTGCATGAAACGTAAGTATGTAATGCTTTCCCTACTAATAATGGGGCCAAGGCAACCTGGAAACGACATATATGTTTATCTTGCGCAACTTGTTGACAATTTGAGAAAGATGTGGGACGTAGGGGTTTCCGTTTTTTATGCTCATAAGAATGAGATGTTCACATTGCGTGCAGCTCTTATGTGGACCGTTAATGATTTTCCTGCATATGGCAACTTGTTTAGGTACAAGAACAAAGGAAAAAAATCATGCCCCATTTGTATTGACGACACACCAAGCATACGCCTTGATCATTCTCACAAAGAGGTGTAAATGCGGACCCGAAGGTTGCTCAGGCGCGATCACCCGTACCGTTGGCAGAAAAAGGCTTTCGATGGGACAGCGGAAGAGGGGACTGCGCCTAGGCCATTGACTGGTAAGGAGGTTTATGCTCAATTTAAGGGTATACGAACATTATTTGGGAAAACAGAAAAAGTTGCGGACTGAACTGCTCTCTTTAAAAAAGAATCAATCTTTTGGAAGCTTCCGTACTGGAAAGAACATGACGTTAGCCACTATGTTGATGTAATGCATATAGAGAAGAATGTGTGTGATGCTCTTGTGGGAACGCTAATGAATATTCAAGGCAAAACAAAGGATGGAAAGGGTGCACGGTTAGATTTAAAAAAGATGGGGGTTCATCCAGAATTGTGGGCTCAGGAAATGGTTAGAAAGGGAAAGGAACAGGAAAAGGAAAATGAAATAAGTTCGAAAAAAGGAAAGGGGTAGAGCAAGGAAAAGGGAAAGGAAAAAGAAAAGGCCATGGATACGTCGAAGAAGAAATATGAGGGAAAAACCAAGGATTAAAAGTCCTTCTTAGCCTGCAAACATATTTGGCTCAGTGTGTCCTTCTCCCAACTGGAGTTATAAATAGAATTGCTCAGTTGTGTAGGGCTTTTTTATAGGGAGGAGATGTTGTTTTGAGGAAGTCCCCCCCTATTTCTTGGGATTGGATATGCAAACCGAAGAAAGCAGGTGGACTTGGCATGAGGGATTGTGGAATCTGGAACAGTGCAGCCCTGGGAAAGTACATCTGGAAGATAGCTCAGAAAGAGGATACTCTCTAGTTCAAGTGGGTGCATGTTGTGTACATTAAGGATGGGGACTGGTGGGATTACAAGCCTAAAAAGAATGCAGGCTGGGCTTGGAAAAAGTTGTGCAAGGTCAAGGACAAGCTAAAAGAGGGTTTTCACACTGAAGGATGGCTGAGCAGGGATTACAGCATCCCAACTTGAAAGGAATGATGTCCTTCCAACAAGTGTATTCTTCCGATAAAGGGTTCAGAATTATTCTGGAGCTAATTCTTCAGTAAGGTCAAGTGATCGGAATTCCTAGGTGGAGGCCGCTTCCGATCAGTAATATCAATATGCAATTGATGTTACAGCTTAATCTTAACTGAACCCTTCGGGTCGAACCCAATCGAATCACCGATCCGAGACGGCGAATTAATCCGAAAGGATTTAATGAGTCAGCAGAGTTTTACGAATACAAACGTCGGAAATCGAGCCTAGGGCGTCGAGACCGAGCGTCGCAAAATCACAAGCGACAAGTACGAGTGTAGCCGTAGCACCACAATGGTCTAACCATGTGGATGCTAGGCTACTTCGAGCTAGAATGCACCTAGCATGGCTAGGCGCACCATCGCAGCCTAGGCATGCGCATGGCAGCCTATCGCAAAGCACCACAAGCCCCAGGCAGCCCATCGCAGCTAGTAGCGTGCTAGCCTGGGTGCATGTGGCAGGCTATCGCAGCACGCAAGCTCAAGGCCAGGCACCATCGCAAGGCATGGCACCACGCACAGCACCATCGCAATGCCAATGGCTTGCGTGTGTGTGCGTGTGTGCCTCGCAGCCTCACACAGCAGCAGCAATGATGTGTGTGGGCTGGTGCCTGTGGTGCGAGGCCAATGCACGCTGTGCATGACTAGTGCGCATGGTGCGTGGGTAGTGCGTGTGCAAGGGCATGTGCGAAGATGTGTGCATGGTGTGTGAGACAAAGGGGGCCAGCATGCGTGGCTCGCTAGCAGCACGCATGCTGGGTGTGCGGGCATGTGCGAAAGGCTTAGCATGGATGCGTGTGATGCGTGGGATGCCAGGGGCAGCACCAGCGCCAGCACGCACCAGCTCCAAGCATCGCCCAGCACCAAGCAGCACTGCCTGGCTGGGATGCGAAGGCTGCTGGTGGTTTGGTGCTAGCTAAGCTGGGCATGCTGGCAGTGCCAGTTGGCTGCTAGCCCAGTAGCATGCTTGGGGCGGTTTATGAGGAGAGTGGGGACCAAGGCATAGAGCCATGCCTTGGGGAGCAAGGCAATGGTCCCCCCAAGGTTTATGGTCCTCACGTAACCCTCTCTCTCCCTTTGACACTTGTTGCATTGTGATTGGATTTATTTATTAATTTATTTTAGAAATAAGTTAATTAGCAAAATTATTCATTCTCCCACATTGGTTGGGGAATGAAGTTCAAGGGGTCATTTCCCTATAAATACCAAGCTTGGGTATTGGGAAATGAACAACCTTGAGTGGAATTAAAAAGGCAACTATAAGAAAGAGTAAACCTTTGATTCGTAAAACTCATAGTTATTTTGTCCGGGTCTTGACTAACCTTCAAGACTTAGGATGCTCGGGTCGGGTCGAGGGTACGATCTGTCGAAGATCTCGTCTTTTCGAGATTTTGAAGTAAGAGCTCTTTGGGAGCGAAGCACGCGTCAAAGGTATAATTCTTGTTCTTAATCTTGTTTGATTAAGTTTATTATGCTTGTTAATTGTTTTAATTAAGGGGCGGGTCTTGGTGGGTTTCCTTCCGCGTAGTGTCGGGTCACTACGAAACCTACACAACTGTTTATAAGTGGCTTCAGGTTCCTCAACAAGAGGTCACCTGGAACTCCTAGGTTTGGAATAGTTTTAATATTCCTAAGCATTCCTTTATTCTTTGGCTAGCAATGCAAAACAGATTGAAAACAAGAATTATGCTCAATGATTGGGGTGTTTGTCAGGAGAGATCATGCCTACTGTGTGGCAATGCTGATGAAGACAAGAAGCATCTATTCTTTGATTGTGATTATAGCAGGAAATTTATTGCAAGCATTAGTGCCTGGTTGGATGTACCTGAAGCCCTGTTTGACATTGATACTTCTTGGAAGAGATGGGGAGAAGTGATACAAGACCCTATTAAGAAGAAGGTGTGCTATGCTGCCCTGGCTGCTATAGTCTACCAGATTTGGTTTGCAAGGAACAAAGCATTTTGGCTAAAGGTCATAATTCATCCTAGAGTTGTTTGTAAAATGATTCGTGCAGAGATTGTACAGAGAAGCAGGCAGCTGATTAATTGCAATTGGAAGAGGAGGCACTGTCAATGGCTTTACAACTTACAAGTTTATGTCTATAATTAGCCTGTTTCTGTTTTGTTTTCTTTGCCGTGTATGCTTGTAGCTATCTGTTTGTAATTTGAGAACTTGTTCTTGTTGGGTTTGTGGGGTGTATCCTTCATAGAAGGTGCCACCTCCCTGGGTCCAGTTGCTCCCTCTCCTCCTAGAGGCACCCTTCCTAGAAGGTGGTCTCTTTGTAGGATATGGAATGTTTTAGGAGGTTGTGTGCCTATGTATAGGCTTGTGTAGCTTTGGAGAGTTGCAACTTGTATTTTATAGGTTGTAACTTTTTATTACTTGGTAATAATATTGCCTTAATTACCAAAAAAAAAAAAAAAAAAGGCTTATTTACCTCCGGCTTGCTACACATTGTCAAGGGTAGAAAATTGGATATTTTGTGCATGTTTGTATGACATTAAGGTTCCATCAGGGTACGCATCTAACATGAAAAGATTTGTATCCTTAAATGGAGAATTGAAGCTTACAAGTATGAAATCCCATGATTGTCACATTGTGATGCACGTATTCATACCAATTGCACTACGTGGTATTTTACCGAAGCACGTGAGGGAAGCTATTACAAGCCTTTGTTCGTTTTTCAATACAATATGCAGCAAAGTGCTTGATCCTTGTACACTTGATGCATTGCAGGCGGATGTGGTTGTGACTTTGTGCAAAGTTAAGATGTACTTCCCACCCTCATTTATTGACATAATGGTACATCTGATTCTTCATTTCGTGCGTGAGATTAAGTTGTGCGGTCCAGTGTTCATGAGGTGGTGCTATCCTTTTGAAAGACACATGGGTACATTACAAAATAAAGTAAGGAATTGGGATCACCCGAAAGGAAGTATGATTCAAGGGACCATAGGTGAGACCTGATGTTCATGGCACAATCGAGTCGAAACGAATGTCACCTGACCGAGATAAGTTCTTACAAGCACACCTATATGTGTTGCACCATGTTGCAGATGTTTACCCATATTTAGACGAGCACATGGCTAATTTGCGTGATGAATTTCGATCGAAAGGTGAAAGGGCATTGATGCAGTTGCATAATAAGAGGTTTATGAGTTGGTTTCATGATCGAGTGATGGGTAGAATGGATGAGAGTGTCACTAATACAGTAAGGTGGCTTGCTTATGGTCCTAGGGATGATGTTCGCTCGTTTGAGGGATATGACATTAATGGGTACACTTTTTGGACTGAACGTCAGGATTTGAAATCTTCCTCAACCCAAAACAGTGGTGTAACGCTTGTGGCATCGTTAAGGGAGTTTGCAAGTGCAAAGGATAAATCACCCGTTGATGCAGAATTGTCATACTATGGTCGAATTCAAGGGAGCTTGATTATTGTAACTTCACGGTTGCTCTTTTCCAGTGTAAGTGGGTTGATAATATCAGGCGTAACGTCAAATATGATGACTTTACTCTTGTAGATCTTGGCCCCCTGAATGATAGTGCGGAACCATTCATCCTTGCATCTCAAGCTAAGCAAGTGTTCTACGTAACTGACCCAGTCGATTAAAAATGGTCTATTGTGCTAGCTAGCAAAAGAAGAATCCTAGGCAATAGAGATGTTGAGGATGAGGATGAATATGATGCATTTGATGACTACACACCTTTCACTGTTCCGAAACCTGTTGTGCCAAATGACATAGACGACCATGACGAATGAACCCTGCATAAAGTAGTTTTTTAACCTCGGAGGCAGCCGCCTGGCTTCTTTCTTCACCGCGGTTCCATTTCTTTTGCCTGACAGGCTTCTTTTTCGGATCCACAGCTAACTTATGCACTGCCAAGTCTGGACTTATACCTGGCATCTCATGTACTTCGAATGCATATCCTTAAATTCCTTCAAGAGTTGGTGAAAATCATCACCAAGTGCCACAAGAGCAATCGTCCCAACCTTAACTGTTCGGTCAGGGCGTGAGTCGTCCAGAGCGACATCCACATGTTCACCAGCCGGTTGAGGGTGAAACTCGTCTGACCGCTCCTCGGCCAATGATTGCTATCGCTTTTCCTTTCTTTTGGCCCCCGATTGGGCAGCCTTTCTTTTCTTGCCGCCTGCTGCTTGGGCAGGCGCATCCTCCTTGATTTGTTCAAGGTCCTTTTTCTCTCCACTTGGGCCAGCAGTCGCCACAATGGGTTTAATATCCGAGAGGTAACACTCTCGTGCCATTTTCTTGTCTCCTCTTAGGGAGCCGACTGTTCCATCATCCTTCTCGAACTTGATGAGCAGCATGAGAGATGGAATGATGACAGCTTTGGAATTGTTCAGGGTGGGTCGCCCTAAGATCATGTTATAGGCCGAGAGCTCTTCAACAACTAAGAACCAAACCACCATGTGACGACCCTCCCCTTTCTCACCCAGACGGATGGGTAGATCCACTCATCCCACTGGGTGTACGACGCTTCCTCCAAACCCCACTAAAGGGTGAGATACCGGATGTATGCAGTCAGGTTTGTACTTGAGCTTTGCCAAGCACTTGTTGCTGATTAGATCAGAGGAACTGCCGGTGTCTATGAGGATCCGGCCAACTCTCTGGTTGGCTACTTTACATTCAATAATAATGGGGTCGTCATGCGGCCCCCTAACGCCTCCCAAGTCTTCCTCTGTGATGACAATTTCTGGGAATGAACTCTTGGAGGTCCGTCCTTGGTTGACGGAATTAATATCTAACCGCCTGATGTTGTCTTTGTTGCCCCTGATAGTGGGGCCGCCTCCTGCGAAGCCGCCTGCTATAGTATAGACGACGGCGTCATCAGTGTCAGAATTGTTAGTCGACCTGTGCTTCTTCTTGGCCGCCTGTTTTTGTTTGGGAGGAGCATTTCCCTTGGACTTCTTAACATAGGAGTCAAGATCACCTTTTTCTGCCAGGCGGTCTTGAAAACGCTTGAGGCTTATACACTCATTGGTTTCATGACCAATGTCTTCATGAAAATGGCAAAATTTGCTTTGGTTCCGATTGCTAACCGAACCTTTCATGGCGGTCGGCTTCTCAATTGAAATCCGGCCCTTGATTTCATTGAGGATAGCGTGGCTATCCTTGTTGAACTTATACTTGGGAGAGTATGGTTTATATTCTTTCTTCTTTTTCTGGGACGGTTGTTTAGAGGAGTCGGCCGCCCATATTTCTTTTCTCTTTTTCTCTTCTTTATTGGCCGACTGCTTTTGTCGGCTTTCTCTTTTGTCGGGCCTCTTGCTATCCGACTGCTTCCCAGTATTACAGAGGTCGGTTGCCTGAATATAGGCATCCGCCTTCATCATGGCCTCTTGGAGGGTGGTCACCCTTTTTCTGACAAGGTCAAATTTGAAGGTCAACCCATCCTTAAGTCCTCTGAAAAAAATCAGTATAGGCTACCTCATCCGGCAGCCCTTGTATCTGAATCCTCATCAGGTTAAACCGCCTGATGTAGGAACGGAGTCCCTCCTTCTCTCCCTGTTGTATTGTCCCCAAGTCAAGGGTCGTCTTCTTAGCAGGAATGTTCATCGCAAAATTGGAGGTAAACAGGTAGGCTAGGGTCTTGAAATTGTTTACGCAACCAGTCGGCAGGTTGCCGAACCATTGTTGAGCAATGCCTTTTAATGTGGTTGGGAAGCACTTACACCATGTGGGATCATCCAACCCTTGAAGGTACATAAGGTTGGTGACTGCCATCAAATGATCCTCTGGGTTTGTAGTGCCATCATAGGCTCCTACCAATACATTCTTCACTTTGGCCGGCTGGTCGGCCTCAATTATTTCCTTGGAGAAGGCGGACGGCTGTTCTCCAAGTCTAAGAAACCTAAGTTGCCAGTCCAAAGGCTGGACGTTTCTTGCCGCCTGTCCTCCAAACAGAGTAGGCTGCATGAAATATTGAGGTTGCGGCACGTATGGCTGGGGTGGCACATGCGGTACCGCCTGGTTTTTCTTGGAGCCGGACCGGTGGGAGGTACCGCCTGTCTGACTGTCACAATTTGAGTTCGAATACCTCAAGGAGGTATTGTGTAAACTGTCTTGAAAATCAGACGTTGAGGCCGACTCTGACAGTCGATCACTCTTCTTCTGCTCTAACAACGTTCGAGCATCAGAGTATGTTCTCCTCGACCCATCCGGTTGAATATGACGGATGTGCTTTCTCTTTCCTGGTGAAGGAAAGTGATACTTCATTAGGTCGATCACTAGCGGTTGCCTTGCCCCAGGCTTTGGGTAAGGGGTTGCCTCACGATCTTTTACAAGCTTCTTCCTCCCAGACTGGGAGAGTCTTCTTGCCGACTGCTCCTTGGATGGAGCAGGCGTCTTCTTATTGATGAAATCCTGGATCTCCCCTTTAAAATTATTCATGAAAGTCATGAGTTCACTTCTAGTGATGGGGACAGATCCCTCGGCCGCCTGTTGATGATCAAGCGGCTGGCCGGCAGGTTTGCTAGATCCAGCCAAGCAATCCTGTTGTTCCTTCTTTTCGGAGGAACGAGTTCGTCGAGCTCTTAAGGTCCCGTCTGGGGCCGTGTGATTCTCGAACTCGACCTCATTGTCAGTATCCTGGTCACTATAGACCTGAGGGTCGTCCATAGGACGCTTCTCGCTTTGATTCGGTACAAACTGTGATGCCATCTCGAAAGTACTCTCCCCACAGACGGTGCCAAAATGTTTCGGGGTTTTCTGATGTCCTGCGGGAAAGTTACAATTCCAGGACTGGTATCCTTGCGCCTGTACCTGCAAAACAACGGAGACTCCTTGTGGTGGGAGCTCCGCTCCGACGGTCAAGTTAGTACTTGTGTGAGGAGTAAATAAGTGCGGAAAGTAAAGGTGGGAGATTTGGTCCCTCAAGGTGAGGAGTGATCAATGTGTTTTGGCTTATCTAGGTGAGAGTAATTAATTGCTGAATCCCCTTTAATGAGGATTAATTAATGTATTTATAGTCTTGGGAAGCGTGCCCAACTCTAGGTTTAGATCAACCTAGAGTTGATCGGGCTTTTCCCGGAAGGTGGGCCTAGGTGGCCATTTTCCTAGGTGGCAAACAGCAGGCCACTTGGCGTGG